TAGCTTTCTTGATATCAAGGGAAATATTTTTATTGTCTGTCCCACTTGTTAAAAGCTGATAGCACTGGGATTCCATAGCAAGGTATTTTTTTATGATTTTATCTGTGACGTTGTTCCCCCCGGTCGCAGCGCCGACTGTGACGTTCTATCCTGATCTACCACGGCACAAGTTGTGACGTCCCCAAACAGCACCAATTGTGACGTCCTCGCCGCGGCGCCAGCTGTTCGCTCCTTGCTGCTCCGTTCGGGTGTCGCTGCTCCAAACGTGACGTTCGCCTATCGCGTCAGTCGTGTTGTCTCGTCCTGTGACGACCAACTGGCTTGGTATCGGTCGCGGCACACAAATGTGACGTTCTAACCTTTTGGTGATTCGGGTGGGAATCTGGTTAGATTTGATATCAGCCTCGTCGTTCCCAACTCGCTTCCAACGCCTGGTTACCAAGGTAACTGCATTGATCTCCAGTCCGCCTACCCACGTTGTGAATTGATCTTAGGCAGACGAGATCAAACAGTGGTTGGGGCCGTAATGCAAACTGAGTTCAACGGGAGTGATACTACACAAATATGCATAAAATAAAATAAAATGAAAACTCAAAAAGTTCAAAGTATCAAAGAAAAAGGTAACAAACTTTATGTCTAGTTGTTCGATACATAGGACTGCATCTATCTCCCGACCCGTTCTGTGGATTGTGGCAAGTTTTAACGCTTCAAGTTGTTTGCTCTCTAAGAAATTGGTGTTTCGGTGTGTCTTTGGACGAAAGTCGAAAAACTTATTTCGGTGGTCTGGTTCTAAGTCGCTCTTCAAAATAATTGTTTTTGGGTTGAAGAGGAGACCTAAATTTGCGTGAATCTTGGTCAGCTATCTCGAGGTGGCTTCAACTCTGGAAACTCAACTCTCTGCTGGAGCCCGAACTGATTTCTGCCTATTGGGGCCTCGCTTTTATTGACGCCGACCAAAACCGGGGTGGGTCTGTTGGCGTCAGGGGGTTCCTCGATAATTCTAAATACATATCCACCTCTTTTAATTCTGGTTAGGGATTTTCCACTCTTTTCCATTTTTTGGGAAACTTTCCTCCTCCCACTTTCTCACCATACCTCTGAGGGGCGTGAACTGCCCTCCCACTTCTTTGTAGCAGCTTCTCATACTTATACTCTGGATGGGGCGTCGACAGCCTTCTTCGTGCGTCACGTGATCACCACTCGGCCAATGAGGTCTTGGTCGGGTATCTTTCCTCCTCCTTCGTGCGTCACGTGACCACCACTTGACCAATGATGTCTTAGTCGGGCGTGAACAATCCGTGGCTTTGTTTCGTGAAAAAAAATATCTTGCTTAACTAAAAAAAATTATCTCTTCTCTTTCCCTTTTCTTCCGCTTAAATCGCCGTTATCATTTCTCTAGCCACGAACGGACAATATGACAACTCTTGTTCTACACGTGGTGTTTGTCAGGTATTTTATCGCTAATTTATCAAGATGGGTGGTCTTCTTAACATGGCTTCAAAAAAGAAATATCCCCAAAGTTTTCAGTCAGTCTGTCGCCTCAAGGAAGAAAAAAAAACACTCCTGGGTCCCCATTCATTTTCCTCCGGTACATATTCCTGATAACATAATTTTATTATCGCAGGCCAAAGTTGTTTCGTCGAAAAAATTCGGTCAGCGGCACTGCTTAATGTGGCATTTAATTTTTCATATCTGTCCAAAGTCCTTTTTAGTGGCCTGTTTCTCGTCACTTATCGAAATAGCATTTTCACTTGAATTTTTCCCTGGCCAGTGGTCCAGCCGTTCATTTACGCGCCTAGATAACACAGCCGTTATCAAAACACATCTAATTCCTTCTTTCTTTCCCTTTCTTTTTTTTTTTACTCAGAAATTCCCTGTCATTATAATGACACCCTTTTTCATTTGTTACTTATCAATATTTTCATTGTCTCTTAGCCTTGTGTGTGGCTGATTATCCCCTACGATTCGTCTCGCCTTTCTTTCTGCCTTCTTTTCTTTCTCTTCCTTTCTCTGCCTCGTAAATGGTGCCACAATCACCAAGCAAGGCAATAAAGCCGCTAAGACACAAGGGGGTTACTCAGAGAATATGAGAAAAAGAAAACACTATTACGTAGAGGGAACAATGAAAGAACGGGAATTAAGACAGAAGATAATGATTCATGTCGCATTTAAATTTTTGAAAATCAAACTTGACTGGGAAGCAAGAAGCTGCAAGAGATTTCCATAAAGGAGAAGTGCGAGAAAAGCAACTGGGTATAAATTATGCTTAAATCCATAATTTCCAGGTTTCAGACAGGGAATCTCAGCAGAACAATTATCATGAAAATATGTATAGAAAAGGTAGAGGGAAACTATGTTAGAACAGTGGGAAAGTGACTGAAGCCGGCATGCCAGGTCATGGTCAGTAATATTGCAGATTCTTTTTTGTATTTTATCAAGAATTTTTTAAATATTTAGCAGAAGCACCAGACCGTATATGACAGCAATATCCAATGCATAGACGAATGGTAAAATTATAAATGTGTAAGATAGATATTGGCGGGAAAAATTGTTTAGCATGACACAATGAACCAACCTTCCTAGCAGCAGACCAAGCAATTGACAAAACTCTCATATTGAAATCTAAAAGACAAATATTTCAAATAAATCTGGACATTCATTTGGAGGTATTCCCATAAAACCTCAAGTTCCGTGATGGTTTGTGAAGTTCATATTTGAGAAATATTTTTAGTGTCTGTCCCACTGTAGAGTTATTCATTAAAAACCTTGTTCGGTAAGTAAATATTGTAGCTATTTCGTAAAAGATATTATGAAAGTATGTTTTGAGATTGTTTAATGTGAAGAGGGTCGCTTTCTTTTGGGTCTTTATTTATATCCCGTTATGGGAGATCATGTATTTTTCCCCCGACAACTTCTTGTCTCCGAGACAACATTTGATTCTTTACGATCACTCTTTGTCTCTGCTTTGCCATCGATTCACTCAAGCCTCTGTCTATATTTCTGAGATGAGGTATTATGTACACTATTTACATTATTCGGACCATTGTCCTCATCTTTGTCGACATATTTATCACAACGTTTTGACCCTTCAGTATCTGCCAATATTTCTGAGATGAGGTATTATGTACACTATTTACATTATTTGGACCATTGTCCTCATCTTTGTCGACATATTTATCACAACGTTTTGACCCTTCAGTATCTGCCAATATTTCTGAGATGAGGTATTATGTACACTATTTAATTTATTCGGACTATTGTTCTCATCTTTGTCGCCATATTTATCACAACGCTTCGGCCCTTCAGTATCTGTGTATATTTCTGAGATGTGGTATTGTGTACACTATTTAATTTATTCGGACTATTGTCCTCATCTTTGTCGCCATATTTATTGCAACATTTCGGCCGTTGTACGCTCCAGCCTTCTTCAGGTGGTTGGAATGTCGAACTGAACCCTTTATTTCGCTCACTGGGGTAAACTGATCTAGTTCCACGTGCCATGTTTAATGGATGTCACTTATCAGTTATCTCCTAAAAATTGCGATATGAGCACTGGTAAAAAAATGATGGCTGAAGACATTAGGTTTATAATACCCGGAAATTTATACACAGATGTCCTCAAAGACACATGGTGCTGTGGATAAAGGCGTTAGTTAGATCCAGTGACAGGACCCAAAGCGTGTGAATTCAATACCCGATTAAGTTAGTGGAGAACTTGGAGGGGAATTAACAGGAGATAACTGATAACTGACATCCATTAAATATGGCATATATATTTCATGTATACCAACTGCGTTTTTTTATTCTAGATTAGTCTATGAATTGTTCTGTTATTTACAGAAAACCTTTGTTTTAATTGAGTGACTGATTTAATTGATTGATTAATTTTCACGGCTCATCGACACTTTGTAGTTTATTTAAAAACAGACATTTTGTCTTGTAATAATTATTTTTATAAGTGAATATATTGCATTAACAATCTTTTGAGAACAACAATGATTTTTCCTGATACAAGTGATACTATTTAACTCATAGCTGGAGGAAGATATGAATTCATAACTTTCCCAATAGTATTTGTACATAAGTGAATGCAACACACCCGGCTGGAATTCGAACCCGGATCTCCGACATTTGCTTATTTTTGTGCGATTATTAGTTAAAGTCTGAGCTGACATTTTCATTGTCTAATCTTCCATATGTATGCTTAATGGATAAACGTTACATTGACATGAAAATAGATTACGTTGAAAAATAAATATTTTCTGTGTGGGAATATGCTATGAACATTTATTCGAATACGTACATCAGTACGTATTCGAATAAATGTCGATAAATATACACATGCTTGTGTATGTTTGTGATTGTGGGTGTGGTATATCAGTGTACACAAGTATGCGTACAGAAACCCATGTGCACTTACCAGCAGAGGACACTATTATGCCACAAAAAAGAATTTAAGTTCGGATCAGATCTTTTTCTCCGACAAAATGTTGCAAGATGGCTGACAATAGCCGAAGCAAGATGGTAGACATCATTGCATAGCTGTAAATAGCGGGTTCATCTTTTTCTTCATGTCTTCGCTTTGAGTCTATTGAAAATTTTTCAAATTGTTAACCGAATTTCTCTAAATGGCAAATAGATAAACATTCAGAAAGACCTTTTTTTTTTCTTTTTCTATCGTTTTATATCTAGAGCCCGTGTCCCTTTAAGAAATTGTCAGTGATAAGGGAATACTCAGTAAGTCGATCGAAAGACAGCTGATCTCACTGGGTTCTTGTTTATGCGTCTAGCGTAAGTTGAGACTCTTCGAGATTAAGAGTTTGAATTTTTTTTTCTAGACGTTCGCAGAAGAAACGTTTGCTTTATTTCTAATGTTCTTAAAAATCAAATATTATTGCAGTTATGTACTGTTCATATGGAAGCATATTAAACACAAATACATGGACTTATATACAAAAAAACAAAATGTAAGCAAGCCAGCTGCAACAATCGACATAATCATGTTGGACATAACCCCACCCAACATCCATCCATCTATCTATCTATCTATCTATCTATCTATCTATCTATCTATCTATCTAATCTCTGTCTCTGTCTGTCTACATATATATATATATATATATATATATATATATATATATATATATATATATATATATATATTTGCTACTTTCTGTGTATAAAGCTCTACTCATTTCTCTCACATATTTTCTCTTTTCTCTTTATCTCTCTTTCACTCTCACTCTCTCTATCCATCTATCTCAGTTTGCTAATCTCCGTGTATAAAAATCCATCTTAGACTGTTCATATCTATCTATCTATCTATCTATCTATCTATGGTTGTTCATATCTATCTATCTATCTATCTATCTATCTATCTATCTATCTATCTATCTATCTCAGTTTGCGCATATCTGTGTATAAACTTCTACTCATTTCTCTCTCTCATATTTTCTCTTTTCTCTCTTTTTCTCTCTTTCACTCTCTCTTTCTCTCTCACTATCCATCTATCTCAGTTTTTTCATCTTTGTGTATAAAATTCTATCTATCTATCTATCTATCTATCTATCTATCTATCTATCACTAGTCGTTTATCAAGGTCGTTGGCCTGATATCTCACATATAATAGCTCTATAAGAAACCATTTAAATCAAACGAAATTTATGCACGTTTGATACGCAAAATACCCGCCAAAAATAGAAATATAATAGATATCTATTACTGTAGAAAAAAAGTCTAACAATAATACAAGTCCTCGACATAGGTAAAATGTAAAGCATAACTACATAAACTACGAACACGGCCATAATATACATGTCGCGTTTGGGAATTAAAATCATGCCTACATATCAATGACGTACGCACCATTCGCAATAGCACAACCAAAATCCTTGAAAAGGGCTAATAGATTAGGCGACAGCGCTCGAAACGAACAAATATTAGACACACTAAGTCCTAAAAAGAAATCTATTGTTGGCACACAAGAAAAACACCATAAAATGATCAATCGTTTTTAATAGAACATGAATTAGAGGGACATTGCTACCAAAATACACAACTATATTAGCACACCCATATGTACTAGTGCGCACACATCCTCAAATATATACGTAGAAATACATATATACTAGGTTGAGTCAAAGGTTTTTTTCGGTTTTCAAGCATTTATTAATAGTTTAAACAATTTACATGCGAAAAGCGTTTATTCATCAAAATATGTTCTATCCTATTCTGTTGTCCTTTGCCATCGTTGTGCCATAAACCCAATTCCATGCGGACATTTGGTTGGTTTAGAGGCAAAAAAAAAAACACCCTGCATCCGTTTTTAACTTAATTCATATTGTTGAACCACCGTCTGTGCTGGAAATAAGACATTTATCAGAAAAGTGGGTAATGCGAATGTTCAATATTTACATTATTCGCACTATTGTCCTCATCTTTGTCGCCATATTTGTTACACCGTTTCGGCCGTTGTACGCTCCGTCCTTCTGCTGGTTGGAATGTCGAAACGTTGTAATAAATATGGCGACAAAGATGAGGACAATAGTCTAAATGATGTAAATAGTGTACATAATACCTCATCTCAGAAATATAGACAGATACGGAAGGGCCGAAACGTTGTAATAAATATGGCGACAAAGATGAGGACAATAGTCTGAATGATGTAAATAGTGTACATAATACCTCATCTCAGAAATATAGACAGATACTGAAAGGCCGAAACGTTGTGATAAATATGGCGACAAAGATGTGGACAATAGTCTGAATGATGTAAATAGTGTACATAATACCTCATCTCAGAAATATAGACAGATACTGAAGGGCCGAAACGTTGTAACAAATATGGCGACAAAGATGAGGACAATAGTCTGAATGATGTAAATAGTGTACATAATACCTCATATCAGAAATATAGACAAATACTGAAAGGCCGAAACGTTGTAATAAATATGGCGACAAAGATGAGGACAATAGTCTGAATGATGTAAATAGTATATATAATACCTCATCTCAGAAATATAGACAGATACTGAAGGGCCGAAACGTTGTAATAAATATGGCGACAAAGATGAGGACAATAGTCTGAATGATGTAAATAGTATACATAATACCTCATCTCAGAAATATAGACAGATACTGAAAGGCCGAAGCGCTGAAGCCAGAAGAGAGTTCAACAAGCGAGAAGTGCGATAGAAGAAATTATTAGCATAGAACTTATGGTTGCGTCTAACTATTTCAACTGTAAAATGATGAGACCTTGCCGCCAATCTAGTGCTGCGCTTAAAAACATAAAATCTAGGTACCATAGAGGAAACTTTATCAGAACAATTATAATGAAAGTTTTTATAGAAAAAGCACAGGGAAGGTATGTTACAGCTGTGGGGAAAGTGACAGAAGCCGAGATACCAGGTTAGGACCAATAAAACCACAGATTCTTCTTTGGATTTTATTAATCATCTCTAAATATATAGCAGGATCACCAGACCAGATGTGGCAGATATATTCAAATATTAGGGGCGCGAAATTAATTTCAACTCGGAATTTCAATTTCAACTTGCTGCTAATTCAAGGCTCTTCAAGTAGAATCTAACTCTCCTAGCCACTGATGTCTTTCATATAGTAAAAACGTTAAATTTTTCCGTTCTGCCTACCGTGCGACTATATCTTGTGGGTAGAATCTCTGACTGATACCAAATCGTTCGGGTTTCGATCCCGGCTCGGAAAAATCGGATGTCTAGTCACACTGAAGAGCTGTGTTGCAGCATAACAGTCTGGCTGTGGATATAGATATTCTTTTCCATCAAGTATTTTTAAACAGAAGTAAAATATCGTTAGGTTTTCAATTTTTTTAATTTAACAACTCTTAGGAATATTCTTCAGACTGTGAAAATAAAGGTAAATTATGGAGGATGGTAAGTGATATAATTTAATGTCTAATAAAGGAAAATTAGTAAATGTTGTTATTGTTCCTTGTTTTAGTTATTTATATATAACAATTTCTCCATAAATCAGGGCGATAATACCACTAAGACGCAAGGGGTTACTGGGAGTAGAAGAGAATGAGAAGACGCTAGTGAAGGGAAAGGACAATAAAAGAACGGATTTTAGGAAGACAAAAGATAGTGATTAATATTGCATTTAAATTTCTGAATATCATAAATAGCAGGGAAGCAAGAAACCAGAAGAGTGTTCCACAGGTAAGAAGTAAGAAAGAAGAAAGTATTAGAATAGAACTTACGGTTACGTATAACTATTCCAACAGTAAAATGGTGAGACCTATTTATTAATCTCGTAGTAAGCTTAAATACAAGTACTTGACTTACCAGGGATGAAAGCTCATTAGAACAATTGCCATGAAAATATTTATAGAAAAGAAGCAGGGAAATCACTTCACGGCTGTGGGAAAGCGACTGAAGTCGAGATACCAGGCCAAATCCAACATCATTACGGACTCATTTTTTGGGGATTTTGGTGAGGATCTCGAGATACATAGCAGAGGCACCAAACCAAATCTTCCAGCACGAGGCAATGAACCAACATTCCCAGCAGCAGACCTAGGAATCTATCTATCTATCTATCTATCTATCTATCTATCTATCTATGTGACACTATTTAGGGTTGCGTGAAAAAAAAAAAAAAGAAAAAAAAGGCGAGAATTAAATTAGGAGATCAGAATCTATCACGAAAAGACGATGTTATTTTTTTCTAACAAGGAAAAGTGATAAAGATTTTATTTTCATTAGCGAAGAAAGTAAGGTCGCGGATCTGTCGCGTTTGATTTATGACGGCGCACCGAATGGTGAAAATTTCAGGTCGGTCAGGTGGCCTACGGGGCAGAATTCTAAGAGATAAAAATTAATTGGATCGCGAGAAAAATGTCCGCTGGACCACCTGCAGAGTTACAAAGAAAGAAAGACTGACCCATTAGCTATCTGCGGAGATGTCGTTTGGAAAAGGCACCTGTTTTATGTCAAGAGATGGCCATGATAGCAAAATTATTTTATCTGAACGAATAATTGGCTGTGGATATCGCCAGATGACCACCCACTTGTTTGGCGAAGGTCTCGATTGATAAAGTCCAGGTGACATTCGGTTAAGATAAGAGTCTAAGGATTTGTTGTCGAGAAGGAGAAAAAGAAAGAAAAGAAAAAAAAAGGAAAATAATTTTTTTTCTTTTGAGCAAGATTTTTTAAACCGAGGCCAGTCTGGCCACACCCACACTGCTGGACGTCCATTGGCTGAATGGTGGCGTGAGCGGTAGGCAAAGGTAATCATGTGAAGAAGGAGGGATCGGTGTGAGATGCTACTGTGAGAGAGAGGGGAAACCTGTTGACACCCTCTGAGGGTATGGGTGAGATACCAATATGAGAAAAAAAGAATTTGGGAGGACGAAAGACTTCCAAAAATGGAAATTAATAATTCTTCCTGACCGAGAACAAAGAAAAACCCTTAATGCGGATTTAGAATTATCTAGGAATCTCAAACCCCGACAGGCCCACCCCGGTTTTGGTCGGCGTCCATATAAGCAGAGTCGCAACGAGTTGCGGCAAGTGGGAGTTCGCAGTTCGCAGTTGGGGTTGGAAACAGACAGGCAAGCAGTTGCAGTTTGCAGTTGAGCTGAGAGCTCTGAAGGCCCGCCTCGCAGGAAGCTGACTGTGATTTACGCATTCTCGACCTCAACTTCTAACCAAGAACAATTTATTTTTGAAGAACGACTTAGACTCACACCACCAAAACAAGAATATCGCCTGAAGATACACCAAGAACCAGTTTCTTAAAGAACAAACAACTTAAGATGTTAAGACTCGCCTAACAAACACAAAGTGACACGAATCCATAAGCGGGTTGGTAGAAAGATGCAGTCCTGTATTCAGAAACCAGATATAAAATATTGTTATTCCTTTTTAAAACATTTGAACTTTTCGAGTTGTTACTTTATTTTCTTTTACATATACTTGTGCGGTATTACCCTTGTCCGGACTCGACCCGGCGACTGATTGATTTCGTCTACCTAAGATCAAATGACAATGTGGGTAGGTTAGACTAGAAATCAAAACAGTTACTTCGGTAACCAGACGTTGGAGGCGAGCTGGGAACGACAAGGCTAATACCGAATCTAACCAGATTCCCATCCGAATCAGCAAAAGGTTAGAACGTCACATTTGGTGCCGCGACCAATACTAAGTCACATTGGTCGTCACCGGACAGGATAGGACGGCGACGGCGCGGAGACAGACGGGGTGACGTCACAACTGGTGCTGTGAACGGGATAGCACGGCGGGCGCGGCCAGACAGACGTCACATTTGGCGCAGCGACACCGGGGGACGTCACATCTATCTATCTATCTATCTATCTATCTATCTATCTATCTATCTATCTATCTATCTATGTGTGTGTGTGTGTTTATATAAAATTTCTATATTATAATATATGCGCAGTAATTATTGGAGAGCGCTCAATATCAATGATAGAGATAACATCATAATTAGTTGTATTAATATATGTTTGTATCCTGGGTTTTCTCGCTTTTGCTATCATGATACATACATATATAGTAGCGCAGTATAGTGTAGTGTAGTGTAGTATATATATATATATATATATATATATATATATATATATATATACGACATTTGAAAAATTTGTGAAAAACCATGGTAATTTTTTAAATTGGCCCCAAAGTAAATTATTTGTTACTGTTTTTTTGGAGTGAATAACGACTTTTTCTCACAGACATTGCGCAACTAAACCCTAGTATACTCTGCAGTCAACAAAAGTAAAAATAAACAACGCGAATGCACGAAATTTAAACTACAAACTGGCGACAATTTACATTCTAAAAGGGTAATGGATGTTTTCATTAATATTAAGATAAATTTTCTAAATTACGAATAATCCTTCTCATACAAGAAGTAAATTCCGGCAGAAATTGCCCGAAATTCATATTCATTTAGGAAGAAAAGTACGAAAAACATCGTCCAAATTTTCAAATTTCTTGTCATCATCAGGGTAGATAGTGATAAATGGTTAGTTTCGTAGAACTAGTAAGTGTTCTGACTAGTGAATGTTGTTTCGTAAATAAAGGTGTGTTTTTACCAGTAGATGTGTTTAACAATATTTGCTTTATATATATATATATATATATATATATATATATATATATATATATATATATATATATATATATATATACTCTCTCTCTCTCTCTATATATATATATATATATATATATATAAACTGCGTCTAGAGATTATATGCAAATTATAAATTGGTATAAAAGAGTTGCGTCTTTAATGTTAAAAAGTCCTATAATGATGTTGTTTAGATTCTACTCAATATTATTAACTTAGATATATAGTGATAGAGAAAACTATTGTTTTTGGTTGGAAAAAATTTTACTAAGTTAACAAAACAGACTAATTTGACTGTCAGTAGTTTATTTGCAACTATTTATTTTGATACTTTTACATTATTATACCTTGTAAAACTAATGTAAAAAAATAATATGAAAAGATTTTAGAACAAATTCCTTTATTTCTTAAAGGAAAAACATAAAAAAACACATTTTATTTTAAAAATAAAAGATATATTAACAAAAAATAATAAGAACCTTCTAAAATTTATTGCACAAATGCTCCTTTCTTTTCAATAACTCTTAGCAGCCTATTGTCAACATCTGATGTTAGATTTGCAATTTTAGCGGCTGGTAAGTTGTTTGCAGCAACTTTAACTGCCTCCGAGAGGTCACACTTGCTGTTGAATTGCCTTCCATTAGAATAAATATCTCTCTTGAGGATGCTCCACAGATTCTCAATGGGATTCAAGTCACAGCTATTTGAAGGCCAGTCCATATGAGAATCTTCAACAAATCCTTTTTCTTTCAACCAGGATTTAGTAAACTTTGAAGCATGACTTGACGCGTTGTCTTGCATAAATATCATAGAAGGCTAAAGACTGGTTATCAAGCCATTCAAAGAAATATTGCTCTAGAAAATCACAGTACCTTTTGGAATTCATTTTAACCCCGACTTTCAGTTTAAATAGACCCACGAGCTCATTACCAATAATCCCAGCCCACATCATGATCCCACCGCCGCCTTATTGGCGTTTAAAAAAAATTCTTGAGTCATTTTGCTTGCAAACCCATTCTCGAGCCCATCCATCGGGCCCATCGAGGGTGATCCTTGATTCGTCTGTAAAAAGTATTTTACAGAATTCAGTTTTCATGTATTTTTTTGCCCACTGCAATCTTCTTTCCATATGTTCTTTTGTTAAAATGGGTTTCTTTATTTGATTTTTTACATCAGCAAACTTCCTTAATGCTTTACACCTTGTTTCCCTTGACACCATAGGAGCTCCAGCGGCCTCAAATATGAACGCACTTGACACATTTGGGTTTCTTATTAATTCTTTTCGGATATGTGATAGATCTCGCTTTGTTAAATTCCTGAATTCAGCCTGAGACTTTTTTTCCTTGGTTGAATTCCCATTTGACATAATTTCTTGATTGTTCGATGATCCCTTTTTAAATCCTTAGAAATTTGAAGCGAAGATTTTCCTTTGCTAATTTCTTTGATTATATAGTTCTTTTCATTCATTGTTAGTTCTTTTTTACGGGCCATAATACTAAATTCTACTTCTTGCAAATAATCTCTTGACACTGCAAATTGCTATAATTACTGAAAAAATACTAAATATCAATCTGAAATTGAAAATTAGGACTTAATTGCATTCATGCTTACTCGTTATACATAATAGTACAAATTATTTCATAGGCTAACACATATCTAGGAATTTAACATAAAATATTTGACAATACTTATTTTGCATATAATCTCTAGACGCAGTTTATATACTATCTATCTAAATATATACACACACATATATATATATATATATATATATATATATATATATATATATATACTTCAAAATTTTTATGCAACCTTGGTAATTTTAAAAATTGGGACAAAATGAACTTGTTTTCTACTTTAAATAAGAAAAAATATTATACATGATTAAATGAAGTCAGATATGATTTTTCATTAGAAAGTTTATTATGACAAAAAGGGGGAAGAAAGCATCTTATGATTAAATTTTGCTCTCGTTAAAATATCCTCCTTTAGCCTTGATTACTGCAGCGCAAAAGTTTGGCATCTGCTGCAAAAGTTTCTCAAAGTATAAGTTTGATAATTGATTCCATTCTTTTTTCACTGACTCTAAGATCTCCTTGTATTTTTTTCCTTTTTTTTCTATCAAGTTCCCCCATACTAATTCTGGTGGGTGGCTTCAAACTTATATATATATATATATATATATATATATATATATATATATATATATATATATATATATATATATACAGTAGCGTCAAAACTAAGGGACAACATTTTAAAACCTAATATTTGTTAGAAATAACAACTGTGAAAAGCTGAAATTTTGACAACTGATAATCGTTATCATCCATAATAACATACTAAAATTTGAATTATTTGCAAAGGATAGAAAAAGAATTATAACAATTATTTATTTACTTTAAACGTTATTTTTAGTGGATACCCATACTTGAGAAGACGCCCCGTTTATTATATTAAACAGTATATCAATTTATATTTCTCTTTGGAAAATGTTATTGAAGAAAAAGAAGCGCCACCCGGCAGGATTCGAACCTGCGTCCCCCTTTGCAGGAAAAAAGCTTCGACGAGATTTGGACCAACTCGGCCACGAAGCGTTTTGTCGATAAAGGAAAGCCATATAGATGCCCCGTTTATTAAATAAATTAAATGAAATCTTATTTAATAAATACACGGATCATCTCCTCAAATATTGATATCCACTAAAAATAAAGTTTAATGTAATAAAATATGTCAGATTAATAAATAATTAAAAATCCATTTTTTAGAAATACCTATATCTATATCTATATATATATATTTATGTATGTGTACTTATTGTTTTAAACGTTATATATAGTGGATACTCGTGTTTGAGTAGATATCACTGTTTTCTAAACATTGTAAATAATTTAACAAGAGCAAAAAGAGAAAGTTAAATTTTGAATGAACGGGGAGAGAATGGAAAAAAGGGGAAGTAATGACAAAAAAAAAGGAAGATAAAGGCAGTGAAAGAGAAGAAGAGAAAGGCTGTGATCGGGGATGGTGAAAAGAGAAAAGAGCAGAGGAAAAAGGTGGATAGGAAAAGAAGAGGAGGGGAAAAGGATAAGGGAAGGCGAAGACAGAAAAGAAGAAAGACGAAAGAGGAGGAAAAAACATGAAAGGAAGAGGAGGAGGAAGCCAACAGAAGCTAGAGAAGAAATTGAAGGAAAAAAAATAATCATCGAATGTACGTGTGATTGGGAAGAAAGAAGAAAAGAAATAAGGGCGAATAGAAAAAAAAAACAAGAAAAGCAGAATAAAAATGAAGTTGGGTGATGTACTGGCGTGGGAAGTTTGAAATGAAAGCGAAAGCTTTAAGCTGAACGAAGATCTGACCAGATCGCCGTTCAGAAAATGTTCAATGCGAACCTAGATTGGTTTAAAGATGAATCTTGAACAAGCATTGCTTTTTTATTTCTTTTTTAAATATCTTATTTGTTTTATTTCTTTTTTTAGGCATCTTACTTTTTTATTCTACTCAAATTCTTATTCTCCGCTTCCTTTCTATCTTTTCCTCTTTCTTTCTTTCTTTCTTTCTTTCTTCATATTCTACCTCACTGTCTTTTTCCTCATACTTCTCCCCTCACTCATTCCATCTTTATCCTCACTTTCCCTTCGCTATCATTTTCCCGTCTTATTCATTCTTTTCTTCCTTTTCATTCCTGCTCTCTCTCCCCTTCTGTCTCCCTCTCTCTATATCTCCCTCTCTCTCTTCCCCTCCCTTTTGTTCCCGTCTTAGGCCTCCTTTTTTAGACATTTGTTTTATTCTGCTCACATTCTTGTTACCATCTTCCTTTCCAACTTTTCCGCTTTTGTCTTTCTTTCTTTCTTTTTTTCTTTCTTTCTTTCTTTCTTTCTTTCTTTCTTTCTTTTCCTCATATTCTACTTCACTACTTCACTGTCTTTCTCTTCATACTTCTTCTCCACTCACTCTTTCCGTCTTTATCCGCATTTTCCCTTCGCTATCATCTTCCCGCCTTCATTCTTTTCTTCCTTTTCATTCGTGCTCTCTCTCTCTTTCTTTGTCTACCTCCCTCTATCTATCTCTCTCCCTCTCTCTCCCTCCCTCTGTTCCACTCTTTCCAGCTTCTACCTTTTTCTTCGTCCTCCGTCGCTATCAATGTCATCATTCGCCGGCGGTGATGGCGGCAGCGAACTATACTGTCCTCATGCTCCTCTGGATTTCTCCACCAATTGTTGTTGTGGGGGAAAAAAGACCGTAAAAAAAATCTTCTGTCTCTGCTTGTATATCCAACGGCAGGCTACGAGTCGCGCGCTTCAACAACTGATTAGCCGAATCAGTTGCAGGGCTCCTTCAACGTGGTTGGAATGAGGGGTGAGCGGCCATCTTTCCATTCGTTTTAACGTACGGCGCCCGAAACTACTGTACACGTATCTTTCAGGTCTTCAGCTTCCTTTCTTTTCTTTTCTTTTTTTTGGTAATCATAAAAAAAAAAGAACAGAAAAACATTCGTTTTGCTCCGATTTACTAATTTTCTACTAGGACTTTCGTTGTTTCCTTCTTTCTTTCTATTCATCATTCTTTAGTTTTTTTAACAGTCTTTCTTTCTTTCTTTCTTTCTTTCTTTCTTTCTTACTGAAGTACCAATCTACCCCGAGTAAGAAATCAAAATTAGATTGCAACTAGTTCTAATGAAAGTAGAAAGATTCCTTAGTACTCTTATAATGAACCGTTTAAACTCTGTCAATTATGCAATATATATATATATATTTATATATATATATGTATGTGTGTGTGTGTGTGTGTGTGTATATATATATATATATATATATATAATTATTTTTATTTATAAAAAAAAAATTATAACATAGATATGTTATAAAATCACTACAAAAATAGCCATTTTGTTTCGACACCCTCGGTGTCTTATCAAGTGATGATATTGAAAATAAAATAAATGGACATTTTAGCCCATTTATTTTATAAATAATAATTATATCTGCTCTACTTTGTATTGAGCACTCTTTTAAGAATCGTAATTGTTGGTTATTGGAATTCATTCCGTATACACCAATTTATATATATATATATATATATATATATATATATATATATATATATAGTGTATTTAGGCAGTAATACTGCATTTATACATGTTTCATTAAAGACGACAGACAAGGTACTTGATTAAGCTTTTTATTTAATTTTTCTTGTGCTCGAACAAGTGTTTATATATATATATATATATATATATATATATATATATATATATATATATATATTCTTCCTTTACCCGTCACGTGATCTAATTATTTCAAGATGAGGTCGACTGCACTTGCTCTCTGGCGGTCCCTGTTCAAGCAAAAGTTCCAGCAGCAACACTTTATTCCTACATAACACAGTTTCAATTCATATGCCAAAAATAAATATGATTTCAAAATTTAAAATATTATCATGGATTACTTGTAATTACATGCATGAGTCTCAGTATAAACAGTTATATATAATTACTGACTGATTTTATCATTGTGGTATTTTTGCATTATATCAAGTATTAAGAATATAGTAACTAGGTTTGCAAATTGGAGGAGAGAGTTATCAATGATAATTATCTGACTTTGAATCCGCAGTTATCTCCCTTGAACCCTTGCTCTGTTTTTTTTTTTTTTTACTTTTAAATGTACTTTTTATCACATATAACTTGTTGAAGTGCGAGCAAATTTTAATTCCGAAAATGCGGCCCAGAGAAAAAAAAAACTTTGGGATCCAATACCTTTGAAAAAATACTACGTTAATTTTTTTCAAAAAATTGCTGAAAAGAGTGTATTTCTTTTGTGAATAACATAAAAATGAAATAAAATAAAATCCAACTTAAAATGTAGTTTGTATCAGTTACACATTTCAACGGCGCTTCGGCAGGGGGTAATGGTTAATAAGGCTAGTCTAGTTGACCATTAGGAGTAAATTAAATCATCACAAGCTTCCATGAGTCTTTACAGGTCGTAAGATGAATCAGCACCTTACAAAAGGTCATTATCCACCTTAGAATTTAATTAGTATCTGTTGTTCTTTGCAAAGGCGTATCCGCATCGGGTAATGGTCAACGAGGCTAGCCTAGTTTATCATTAGTAAAGAATTTAATCCTCACCAGATACCCCAGAGAAAAAACGAACAACTGTTTACAAAAAATTACCGTTAGAATCCACTTCTTTTGAGAGCAGTGGGAGATTATTATTTTTTTTCTAGTGGAATGAATAATGACAATAACAAATGTATTGTAAAATAATGACAATAACAAATGATTGTAAAATAAATATTCCTTAGTTATCTATTTCATTTCTCTCACCTTGATATTAGGAGGATGAGGATGGTGGGAAAAAGGGTGATGGTCGGAGGCAGACGCCTAAAAGATTTTGAGAAGAAAAATGATAAAAAATAATAGATTAAATTTTAGGAAAAAAAAGAAGAATCTCTAATGCAAGGATTTCTTTTAGAATATCTACAGAACAACGATGGTAAAACGAAAGGCATAAATGTTTCAACGAATGCAGATAGGTTAAAAATAGTGACGATCGTTCATGTCGTCCGTCGTCTTCGACCTTTTATGTATTACTGAAAATGGCGGATGACCTGAGCGATTTCCTGTGTATAAATAAAATAAAAAAAAAAAACAAATAAACGTTAAAATCATCGCATATTAATTATAGAAATGGCCAAAGGTTCCAAATAAATCAGCACAGAATCATTGTATATAAGCGGTTTTGGAGTTCTTTTGCACTTTACATACACGCGCGTACATAGAAATGCATGCACAGAGACATGTATAATGATTTTCTAAGCGTATCTTAGATGTGCCACAAAAGTCGAAAAGCACCCAGTGAGGATCGAACTCACTGTCCAGTCGTAACTGTTCTGTCGAAACAAACTTGCAAACCATCACACCACGTCAAGGTGTCCATCGTGATTTTTTAAGAGTAGCTTAGATGCGGCACAAGACCCAGTGAGGATCGAACTCACTGTCCAGTCGTAACTGTTCTAGCGAGACAAGCCTGCTAACCATGAGACCACGCCGAGGTGCCCACGCGTGTGGAAAATGTACGTGAGCTTATTGGTAACTTTTATGTGTGTATATGATTATTTTCTAAGTGTAGCTTATATGTGACACAAGACCGAGAATATAGAGCACCTAGTGAGGATCGAACTCACTTTTCAGTTGTAACTGATCTAGCGAGAGAAACTTGCTAGCCATTAGACCATACCGACGTACGTGTGTGAAAATTGTACATGAGCTTCTTTGTAACTGTATGTGTGTTTATGTATGGAGGCACAAGTATGCCAAAGCTTATCTTAAAATCAAAACAAAGAAAAACTCCTGAAACTAGAATGTTTTCCGTATGCGAAGGTCACACTTGGAGAAAAGTTGTGACGATAAACAAAACTTGGCACAAACTAGGCTTGGCTGATACCATAGAAATGAATCCCGTGTGTCAACCCACTCTACCGGTAAAATGAGTGGCTTAAAACTTGCGACCATTATATTTCAAAATTCGGAAAATTCCCAATTCCAATATTTCTGATTCCAAATTTTTCATATACTGTACAAACACGCATACATATACAGTTACTTAACACATGCACACATATACATTGTAGATACAAATTAATACGCTTCTTCTTAAATATAGAAGCTCCCCCATATATATATATATATATATATATATACAGGCAATTAATAATTTAGAAAAGGTCTGCCATTTTATATGGTGTTGAGCACTTTTTCTTTCCGGTGTGCATTCGCTGTAACAGACTCTTTTGAAGGGCTGCTTATTTCTCTCTCTATTTCTCTCTCTCTCTCTCTCCCCCCACACACTATATATATATATATACACACTGATACACACACACTCACCCCCCCACACACACACACTCCCTGGTCTTTTGAACATGAGTAGAGATTCATAATTTGTTTAGGATTGGATTTCCGTTTCCTTTTTAGAGTATTTTCATTCTCTTTCACGCTCAGTATCTTTTGCGTCTTAGTAGAATTATCACCTTGCTTGGGGTGAATTGATTATATATATATATATATGTGTGTGTGTGTGTGTGTGTGTGTGTGTGTGTGTGTGTGTGTGTGTAAACTAGTCATGTTCATCTATCGGTTACAGAATTGGCTTGGGTACAAATATCAACAAATATTAAATAAAAACTGCAGAATAGAGATGGTATGTTTTTGGAGATTTGGTCAAAAACTTTTTTTACGCGTCTGCAGAGTCAAATTCAGTAAATTTTTCCGCAACTCATTTTTTAAGAAAGTATTTTAGAGTCAACAAAAATGGCAGAAAATATGTTTTTGTTGAGGACGTAGTGAAGTAACTAAGAGTCAACCTACTTTCTACTGGTGGGAGAAATAAATATTTCTTTTTTTTCTGTAATGATTTGGTCCAGAATGTGTTATCTTAGTAACGTACAAGAGACTGCTCAATTCTAAATCCTGTATGCACAAAGGCGCTTGTCGATCCCAGAAGTACCAGGTAAGTGAGTTAAATTAATACTAGAATGAGAACCAGTGGTTTCCAAACGGTACGACATGCCTGATAGATGTGGTGGAAGAGGATAGCCGGTGAGGCGGAATGATGGATAAGCAATCAAAAAGTTTGAAACAGTTTTAAGAAATTCATATGCCAAAAATAAATATGATTTCAAAATTTAAAATATTATTATGGATTACTTGTAATTTCATGCATAAGCCCCAGTATAAATTGTTATAGATAATTATTGACCAATTTTAACATTGTAATATTTTTGCATTATATCAAGTATCAAAAATATAGCAACTCGGGTCCGCAAATTGGAGAAGAGAGTTATCAATTATATTGTTCTGACTTCGAATTCGTTGTTATCTCCCTTTAAATCACTCTCCCTCCCTCTCTTTTTATCTTTAAATTTAATTTTTATCACATAAAAAGTTTAAGAACCATTGAAGCGTGAACGCATAAAAAAGCAATGGAAAGCGTTTAATACAAAAAGCACAATATATCTGACATTACAGGCGGGCGCAGATATACAAACTCATACGTAAATATATATCTACACTGGAAGCTACACTATTATGATTTTCTGCCCGGCTAGTCTAAGCTTATTAATATTTTTACATCATCCATGCACGAACACACGGTTGAGGTATCTTATTTTCTCAAAACGTTGATATTAATTTCAGGGATAACAGAGCGTTAGATGTCCATGGAAAACGCCCGCTAAAGGACATGTTTTGCACAAACTCAAATAGGTTTTCGCTGCACTGGGCACACTATGAAATAAATAGAGTTCAAAATTAAACCCACTTCTTCTTTCTAGATCTTGTGGATCTTATTGTCTTTCATAAAAACAAGGCACCTTTTTTTTTTTTTTTTTTTTTTTTTTTTTTTTTTTTTTTGAGAAACGAGTGTCTAATATGCATTGTGAAAGATGGGTGTGTCGCGTGGGTATCGAGAAATACACCCGCGACACACAGAAACTGAAACGCTCGTAAACCAAATAAAGTTTTTTTTTTAATTTTTTTCCTCCCTCTGCACTGAGAGTTCTGCTCAGATGCCAACAATCCTTGTAAGAAGCAAAAACGGGGGCAAAAATATGAAGAGATGTGGAGACGGCGCTTTTCAGT